CCCCAAAACCCCAAAACCCCAAAACCCCAAAACCCCAAAACCCCAAAACCCCAAACTTATTCCTTCTCTTGAATGAGAAAGTAGAGTTATTATCCCTTTAAAATGGGATCTAAGAGTTTAGCTAACTCATATTTGAGATTGTGCTTCTTATATGTTACAGCAGTTGCTCCAAGAGAGAGTATTAAGACTTATCCTTCTAATTTAGATTACCTTTGTTAGACAAAAATAGTTTATTTTTGAGGAACTGTTCCAACCGAGCCTGTCCCGCCAAAGAAGGAACCTTTATCTGACTTAACATGGCCACTGACCACTGAAAGGTCTTCATTATACTTCTCGTTAAAAGAAGTGATTAGACTAGTATCTGGAACATTAGCATCTGCTTTGTCGGAAACTTTTATATCTTCTCCCTCTTCAAACCTAGCAGTTGACTCTATTTATAATTCTTGAATTAATACTTACTCTGTCTGATGAAACTAGATTCGCTTTTCTCGTAAAGGATTGAAGAGCTCAGAAATTTAACTGATGCTTCATTCTCCTCATCAATCTGAGTGATTTCAGGTTTGATAAATTTAACAGTTGCCGATGGTTTAGGATCAGGTGTTTCAACTTTGTTCATTAAATCATCAAATGCATCTTTATAGAGCTTAACTAAGCTCTCTGAACGATCTAAAAGTTAGCAGACTCTATACCTCAAAGAATAGTTTGTAAGCGAAGCCTTTTAGTATCTAGCTTGAGTTCTTTTTCTATAGAAAAATTGGTACTAAGCCATACCTATATCTGAGATCTCTTTAGTTTGTTTGGCGATCATTAATTTGTATCTCTTCTGACAACTCATATGTGCAAAATTAAGAATAGATAGCTGTTTTTCAGCTGATTTATGTGCAACTTGGATATCAAATCTCTTTTGTGCTGCTTTTTCATCAGAGAAGTTGACTCCAACCTGGAGGCCATTAGTCATCACTCCTCGGACCTTATCCTTGTTAGCCTTAACTTCTTCTTGTGTCTGAGCATATTGTTTATCAATCCTCTGCTTATCCTTAACAATCTGTTCAATCTTCAACTGGACCTCTGACTTTTCTCTACTCAAATCTCTTGCTTTCCTCAGACTATCAGTTGATCCACTAGTCTTCATCCCTATCTGTTCGGTTCTCTTCAGACTTTTCAGTAAGGATCTCTGAACTGTTATTTTCCCTATTAAAAATCTTAAAATCCTATATCACTCCATCTCCTTAATCCTAACAGCTATCTTAAACCCCCCAAAAGAGCTGAATAGGCCCCTTCCTGTGAAATTGGTATACACAAAGACGAAGAAGGCAAAATAGGCCTGTAACTGAAGAGGCGAGGGGTAGAATAGAAGTCAGATGACAGTTTAGGGCACGTACTGACAAGTTCTTCGTTCTGATCGATGAGTCTGGGGAGAAGAGTGGGGTCAGTGATTCTGGAGCGAAGGGATTTTATGTTTGAGAGGTCTCTTTTGATGCTGTAGGGTTAGATTTTGGGAGGTACGTTAGAAGTTCGGCTTTAGCGTTATTTTATACTCATGTCAAGGACTTCTGAGTCTTTCTCGGGGTTACGGAGAGATTGGTAATGTCTTTCACTTTTTGGGTCTAAAATTTTAGATTTTAAAAATACATGGATTTTCTTGGATAACCAAGTGGTTGTAGTTATCAATAATTGAATTAAGCTTTTCATTTAACTCCTTTATCTTTTTGATTAACAAGCGATTTTCGATCTTTAACTCCAAAATTTCCTTCTTCTCCTTTTGTGCAGGAGTGAGAAAGAGACCTCTCTGTGGTTCTGGATCTGAGTCAGAATCTGACTCAACAGCTTTAGCCAAGGGAGATGTGCTGAGTCCCAACTTTTTCTGAAACCGTTTCAAAGATTTATTTTTGGCCGTCTGAGTAATGTTCTTGATACAATTTTCTATAAAAATTAGCTTTTTAAGTTTTCTTCACTTGGAAATGCACTTGAGATTAGTTAGAAAGTTACGCAAATTATTCTAAACTTTACCGTTAAGGAGGACTCTTAACCGAAAACTTTGATAAATAAGCTAAAACTTACTCAATTGGGAGGAGTATATATCAAGGTCGGAGAGTTTTAACTTATTTCATATTCTTCCTAATTGGAGTTTTGGTATTAACAAACTTAGTAAAATTCCCAAGCTTGCTATAAGTTCCCTTTCTCTGCAATGTCGGATGATTCATACTTCCAGGAACTCTTGGAGTATTCTTTGGAGAATTAGAAGCAAACCTAAACAGCTTAATCTCATAACTCACCTGTTAACATTGCATGATTTTCTCAAATCTCCAATAGAGTAATTAGACTTAACTCTAAAGGGGGAAGTCGATTGCTTCTGTTGTCTTTCAAGGTACGAAGAAGCGTCTCTCATAATGCTTACAGCTGTATTCTTCCGATTAGTATAGTACTCGAATGACTTTTTGTATCTCTAAACCTTAACAGAGTTACTTTACCTTGTCAGCCATTTTATGAAAATAAGTCTTATAATTGTCAAATATAGTATCAAAGAGGGGTTTTGGGGTTTTGGGGTTTTGGGG